ACTGCAAACCATTGGAACTTATTGACCAAGTGACTCAGGACTCCCAAATGGTTAATCCTAAAAGGAGAAGCCAGGAGTCCGCACAGAGGTCTGTCTACTCCTTCTGTGTCAGAGATGGGGGGGTGGGCCCCCCAGGCTTTTGGCTTAGTTGCCAAAGACAACTCACTTGTGCTAAAAAGTGGGCTTAGTTCATGCAAACAAGAACAGGAAGCCAAAAATGACCGACTGGAATAGTGTGGTCCAGCGGAGGCGGCATCGCCACGAGGGTCAAAATGGTAGCTGCGCTCAAGCCCATCTGCTGGCTGTGTCCCTTGTGGGCCTGGTAGGCAGTGTGATGTGTTGGAGGGGGGAGCTTCCTGTATATTCCTGTTTCCGTTTATGTGTGTAAATGTCCTTAAATAACCCACCTTGCTGGGAGAAGAAAGCTAAGAGTCACGCCCAGTTCTGGATTCCACATTAACAACCTCCTTCCGCTCAGCGTTAAACTTTGCCCTTGAGACCTTTTGTTTAACTTTTTAATTTGAAAAACAGATTCTGCCGTCACAGTCTGTCCTGCCCTCCACAGCACCACCACCACCACCACCACCAAGTGAAATATAATTATCTCAGGCCTATTTCCTTTTTGATTTTAAAATGTATGCCCTGCCCTCTGAGTAGAGAGAGAGAGAGACCCATAAAAGGCTCTATAAGACGTTGTATGTGTTAGAATATTGGTTGTTAACAAGGAGCTGAGCCCGCCGGCTTTGTTGCCCATCTTCAGTAGACTCAGAACCAACTCCATCTTGTAATTGCTCACGGCACAAGAGAAGAAACAGACTGCCGCTGTCACAGTGCCTACTGCTGCCTCAACCCTCTTGTTTAGGGTGCAGTGGGACGGAGGCTGTTTATGGTTCGTAAATCCTGACTACTGTGAGCATTCCAGAATCCCCACAGAATGGGACTGGAACTTTCATGGAGCTGTAAATTAAGGGGCGGGACGTGTGATAAAACTCCTCCGAGAACCGTGCTGCAGTGGTTAAATGGAATTTTATAAGCACGTTCAGCGCGGAGCTGTTTTGCATTACATGAGTTGAATACCTTAGAGACGCCACATCTGCGGGCACTTTATTAAATACTGAGTCAGCACTTTCCAACCTGATGAGATTACTTCTCCATCTGACCGGCTAGAGGGAAAGCTGAGCTCTTGTCTTGGGCTGCAGATTCCTTTTGATGTTTCACCTTGAACACTGAAAGCGGACAGGTTCCCTCCCACCCCTGGAACATCCCGAACCGTGGACATTGCGAATGGAACTGGCTAATTTTCTGAAACTAGAGCCTTTGTGGGAGTGTGGATTTATGCGCCACCAAATCAACTGCAGTCGAATGTTCTTGCAGAAAAAAAAAATAGATCAAAGCTCAGAGTTTACTTCCTCAATGTAAATGTATCAAGATAACATCCTCCGATGCTGTGCTGTAATATTGCCACTCGCTGCAGATAAGGGACAGAGACTCCTTTGTAGTGGCCTGGATACAGTAGGGCAGATTAAGAGACTATAAAGTATGAAGGCAGAAGTCATATGAAACCCAAGCGGACGTCAGATCTGAGGATGATTTTTTGACTCTCCACAGATGAATTTTGTTTCATGTGCTGGTATTTTCCCAATGATTTGATTCAACCCAAGAATTTACCAGCCTCAGATTCCTTCTCTATTTTTTTTTTCTGTCCCAAGAAGGAAGGTGCGGAGTCATTCTCCAGTGAGCGTTCTCAAACTTGCAACGTTTTTAAATAGCAGACATTAAGGGAAAACGTAAGAAAAATGAAAAGACCTTTCCTGGTATTCTCCCATCCATCTGATGTGATTAGCAGTTGATAAAAGTTTATAGAAATCCAGGGGCACCTCTGTGTGGGTGACTGCCCTCTCATTGCCTTTAGCAGTGTCTTCAACTACAAACTGATAGACAGAAAAATTGATAAAGTGGATGAATTTCTTCTTATTGTTTGTTACAAGTGTTTCTCTACTATATTTCTACAGATAGTTTACTAAGAAACCTCATTCAAAAAAAAAAAAAAGAAAGAAAGAAAAAAGTTCGTGTGTGGTTCCCCTGACTTCTCATTCTGGAAGCCCTTGGTCAAGTAGCTGGGTTAATTGTCATGAAGATTAGTGTGATGTTGAAATAAGTACGAATGGTCAAATTACAGGAGTGAAAAGTGGAAGAATGGGTTTTGGTTTGGGCCTGAAAGGGTTAATTAAGGTTTTTTTCATGGGTTATTAAAGACCCCCAACCCCTGCCTTAGGAGTCATATTGACACCCCACCACAGGGCTGCTCGGCTCCTCTATTGACATGTTGCTGGTGGGAGCACAATAGCCTCTGTGTCTGCAAATCATTGCTAAAATCATCTCAAGGAAGAAAGTTCCCAAGCTTTACCATTAGACAAAAGCCCGTGAGTTGCAGTGTGCAGCTCAAAAACCCAGAGTCAGCAACTTCTATTGATTAAAAACTAACCTTTAAAGTAACTCTGAGAGTGTGTGGTTAGCATTTAAATTTAAACATGTCATGAGTTGATTTGTGTTACTGAATACCAACTCAGAAGGAGTAACATTCACAGCGTAGGGTTTTTTTTTTTTCTTTCTAACTCCGTTAAGCAGCTAAAGTATTTCATGAAATGTCAATAGGGCAGAAAGAAAAAGGGGAGGGGCCGATGCCGGGCCTCATAGCTTTCTTTCCCATGCACATATCCCCCCCCCCCAATAGAAAAGTGTGGAGAGGGAAACACAATAATTAGTCCTTTGTCTAACTTTCTCAAATGCCAAAGAAAGACAGATTAATTAAATATACAACAGTGTTGGTTTTTGGAGTGGGGGTCTAGCTTGCTGGGTAGGTCATAAATTAGGCAGAATAAATACTTCAGTGTGTTTGCAGTGGGCCTGCTACGTCAGAACCACTGGAAGGTTGGTGGGAGGAGAGCAGAGGGTTTCTTGCTAATGATAGTCACGTCTGGGTCTGTCTGGTTGCTAAGAGCAACCAGACATGATGTAACACCAGGATGAACTTGAACTTGGGGGACTTGAAAAGAGAACAATAGACCAGAGCAATCAATAAAGCCTATTTCAGTGAAGGGTTACAGAGCTGCTCTGGGGTAACCTTGTGGGCGAGGCACACACTGAATAGTAAGATGTGTGAAGAAACTTTTTTTTTTTTTTTTTTTGCTTTGCTTTGCTTTGCTTTTTAACAGAAGTACAGGGCACTGCTGGGTTTTGTAGTGTCCTGAGTTCAGTGGGACGGAAAACTGCTCCCCCTGCTGACTCGCCAGGTTCCAAGCCTTTGCTTCAAGAAGTCCTGACTGTCACATGGAAGAGGTCCCGAATTTCACAAATGCCCTAGAAAGCATGCAGACAGATTGAGACCAGCGCTGGCCACTCCGTTTCAGACTGGGCTGTACCAGAGGGCATGTGGCAAGCGATCTGAGTCAGCACTAAGGAGAGACTTACCACAGACACAGCTTGGAGCTTGCGGCCCTCCCTTTCTTTCTCACTCATCTTCCTTTTGTCTGCCTAGATTTAGGCCATGTGCGCTTTGCCAGGGTGATTTCCTTTCCGGCTCGAAGCAGCTTTCTTGTGTTCCCCCCTAGCACACGGCCAGAGAGTAACATCTACGAGTCTACAGGATGAGTGGTTTTGTGGTTTGTTTTGTTTTGTTTTTTAAAGCTTCTCTGGAAATCAAAGGTAGCTTGTTGTTACCAGGAAATCTTACACCAACATCCTTGGAGCTGTCATTTAGCCATTTATCCTGGGGATCAAAGGAGTCCCGACTTTTCCTAATTGTAGCTCTCTGACAAGAGTGAACCTTAGCCCTCCGGAATCCGTTCTGATGTAACCGTAGTTGGTGCTGTCGGCGTCGAACTTGTAGCCATTAGCTTTGCCTAGAAGCTGCTGGACTTTCTGACTCCCAGCAACCGCAGTAGTTCTTGAGGGCACTTCAGAGGAAAGCTGGCAAAAGGCACACACTATTTAACGTCACTTGGGAAACTGACGCTGGCATTTGTCTGTAGTTGGTCATTTTGTTTAGCTGACTTTCTTTGCTGACAAAGAAACACCAACAGACATAAATGTGGTCGCCTGGACATTTACGAAAGGGACATAAGAAGGGTCCACAAGCTGAGAGAGAGCTCCACTGGCGCATGGAGCAGATAGAAACATGGATGAGGACTAAGCAGTGGCCCATTTCCTTCTTGAATCTGATGATGCTTCATAAGGTGTGGTCCTATTGATCTCTTCTAAGAGAAGAATATAAAACTAGGTATATTCATCTGGGTGGGAGATGAATTTGCACCCTAAGTTCTCCCTCGTAACAATAGCTTCCCGATAGCCCAGGCCACCAATCCAGTGTTTCCCACCAGACCTTTCTGTTTTAGCTGCCTCCACCAGCCACCGGGCATGTTCACAGAATGTTGTGTTTATGTTTAGTACCTGTCTTTAGCACCTACACCTCACTGAAAAATATATTGAGAAAATCATAGCAATAACTACCCTCTACAGTGCCTAACCTCACCCTTCAGCCACTTTCCCACCAATTTGCTTCTCTTTCTTGAGCCCACCCATCACTGAGTGAGGTGCTAATAACATAGCCAGGTTCCTTGCCCTCTTTTAACTGCTCCCCGCTAGGTTACAAAACCTGATGTGAATGTCGTGTGGCCAGAAAGGTGTCACTTAGTAAGACATACTCAAAACACTGGCAAACCCCAACCAAGATAATGACTTTTAACGTCAGAGGAGTGAGATTTCAATTTCAGTGGCTTGGGATTTACTGTCACCTGCCATTCCTTGTTCACATAAACCTCTGAGGTCAATTCTGATCCCTTGGTTCAAAGAGCAACTTTCAAAGTAGTTTTACAAAATTGCACATTTTTGTGTTTGTACACTGAAGATCTCTGTGGGCTTTGCACACGCTAGTCAAGCCCATGCACCAAATCTCAGCATGCACCTGCACTTCTAAGTATATTCTTCTTTTTGTCTTCCAGTCCTGGTACCTGGGATAAAAGTTGCAGCATCCCACCATCAACCAGACAGACCACCTGACCCCTTCTCAACTCTGTAACATGGACGCAACCTCAACCCAGCGCAGTTACAACTTCACTGTCAGTGGAAGGGGAGAAAAACCGACTCGAATCAACTTGTACATGGAAACAGCAAGCGTCATGGTCAAACAGCAAAGGCCATAACCTTTCGGGATTTTTTAAAAAAAAAAAAATACTTTAGGGACTGTCGTAATTTCTCATATGGTGCTGGAAATGGTTGGGCTGTGTGACATTTGAAGTGTTTTCGGTGGTGGTGTGAGCATTAGGTGAAGCGGCTGGCAGAGGAGGAGCCTTGCTCACTAACTTCCTGTTGTAACACACTTCCCTTATGAGCCTGGCCTTTTCACAGTATTTCATGACTTTGCCCACGCAGGTGTGCCCCTCCCTGAGCATCTGGAGCACCTGGAGAATGGAATCTTTTTGTAGTAGCTGAGATCTGCGATCTGTAACTTACAGGACACTCAAAGGGCAATGGTTTTTTTTTTATTCTTTTTTTTTCTTTTTTTTTTTTCCTGTAACATAGTAGAAAAAGAAAATGCAGTTGCGTTGATCTTTCTTTTCGTTTGGTTTGGTTCAGCAGTCAGCAGTTACATACACAACACAGCCCGCAGGGACAGTGAACCCACCCATGTTGCAGAACAATTCCAAAAGGACGGCAAAGCCTACTGCTATCATTTGTTGTGTTTTCAAGAAATGCTGCACTTACATTAAAAAAAAAAAAAACATTTTTCAACAATTTCAACAATGACACAAAAATTCAGATGGAAATGGGGAAGATGGTCTGTTTTGACAGAAACTGACAGGAATCAAAACAATCGAATTTTGAATTGAGTGAAGTGCAATTTCATTGGATAGCTAAGTATCTTTGTAAGATAGAGATTGTTGAAAATTCTATTTTTGTTTTTCAAGTCCTTCCACCCCAGGACTCTAAATTATTGGGGTAAAAAACAGCCTTGCAAGAAAAAGGGGAGCTATTTTTGCTTTTTATGTTTTTTATTGTTAAACTTGTATCCCTTTAAAAAAAACTGAAGGAAAATTTAAAAAAAAAAAAAAACAAAAAAAATACAAATCTAATGGTGCTTTTACCACAATATGTTAACTACATTAAATGCTAATTAATTATTTTCTGTTATCAAAGCACATAACTCAAATGAAATCATGGTATCTGTTAATTTTATAAGCTAGAAATCACTATAATGAATTATGCCAATTCTGGAAATTTTTACATGTGTATGGCAACACCAGATCAATCAGTTATCAAGCGCCTCATTGTACCAGACATTGTCCAGAAGTTTCAATGACCCTCTGCAAGCCCTGAACTGGGCTCTGGGAAACTTTAATACTGACAACTCTGATAGGGGAACAACTGCTGGTGCCCATTCAGATCAAGGGTACTCGTTAGGGAAAACGAAAAAAAGTTCACACCCCCCCCCAATGTCTTGTATCTTATGTTTAAAAACAAAAAAAAAGACAAAAAAAGATCAAAAAAGACCAAAAAAATAAAAAAGCAGAAACAAACAAAAAAAAATGCAAGTGATTTTTCTACCAGACAGCGAAGCACCCCCTTGCTTCCCATGCAACGTCAAGGTTTCCTATGCTATACATATATATGTGTTCTGGCCGGCAGGCCCTGCTGGCCGGAGGAAGTCTCTGCATGTTCTAGTGTTAGTAACTAATTTTTATATAGCTAATGTAGGATAAAGTAGAGTGCATTAAGACAATATTGTAACCCTCTCTAGGCACTTGCCTTTAAACTGTCTCAGCCCTTCAGAAGGGCTCAACTACTGTCCTATACAATCAAGTAACTGAAATTCTTGGGAAGACACTTTGCTCCTCATCTTTACCCCCAAACGGTGTTGTTTTGTTTTTTATTTTTTCCTTAATTTGCACGAAAACAGAAATTCCATATCAATGTGCCTTGCCCTGGATAGTGGTGACTTGTGGAATTGTTGCACACGCCCCTCTGTTGAAGGGGTTCTCCCTACTCGAGCATTCGGAGACACTTTTTGTAAATGTAACTTTATGTCAGCCATCGTCCATTTCAACATCTAGACCTAAACAGAAAGTTAGCTGTTCCGCAGACAGGCGTAGTCTTGATTGTCCTGTGTGGTCAGTGGCAGTGCTATTCTGAGCTCTGTAGATGCTTACAATATCAGTATTTGGGATGTTGCTGCATTGTTTTTCAATTTATTTGGAGTCTTCCTTTATTTTCCCCCAGATATATGAAAATATGCAATACCTGCTTATATCATGTAGAAAAGCTTAGCAATTATTAGTTTTTCTTTTTTTTTTTATTTGACCAAAGTCAGTGCTGCATTTGACGCAGTGTGTTTTTAGGTGTCTGTCTTTGTATCTTCTGTGGTTTTTGATGCACGTGCGCAGGAAGGGCTCCTCTTAGAGAAGCAGTCAAACTGTGAAGCACTAAGCTGACCCTGCTTCAAGCAATTTTGTTTTTACAACTGTTCCTTTCACAAGCAAGCCTTAAAAAAAAAAAAGACAACTTCCTTTCTCTTCAGCCCCCACACCCACTTTTCTTAGCAGACAGCAGTCAATCCACATTCAATAAAAAGTACATAATGCCCATTTTTATATGCACGTTTTTAAACTTCCAAGTTCTGAAAATTGTTTACTGGTTATCTCTATTTAAGGAAAAAAATAAAATAAAACATTTTGGATTTTCATATGTGTCTGATAAGTGGTTGAATAGTCGCTTGGCGCTGTTGTATGGTGTGATTGTCAGTGTACGGTGTCACTTCCTATAGCCAGCAGCCTACTTTGCCTTCCCTCTAGCACTTAGCTGGGCATTACTTTATTATGACATATGTGCACTAAAAAGAGAGAGAGAGAGAGAGAGAAAGAAAGAAAATAGCAGCTTTCAGTGCTTCACAGTGAAGGGAAAAAGCCTAGACAAACATTTTGTCAGAACCTTGCAAAATGCCAAGGTATTACCAGTAAATTGGTTGTATATACAATAAAATTGCACCCTTTTTTAAACAAAACCAACTAAGCAATAGTTTGGGCAGTTTTAGGTGTTTTTAGTGAGCATGTTGTAGTCACGGCTGCAAAGAAAGAGGATAAACTGCCCACTCAGAGATAATTTGTATCGTTGTATAGTTTTATTGATTACACTGATTTATTCTACCCTATTTTATAATGCAGGACTTTTGTAATGTTGTCTAAATGAGGAAAAATTTCTGTCAAATTAGCCTAGTGAAATTTCTGATTGTTCATTATAAAGGCAGCGTTCATAGAATTGCTTTTCGTTTCTTTTCAACCCACTTTGGGAACTGGATTTAAGTTTAAAACTTTCCTGTTTCCTTTTTTTTTGTTTGTTTGTTTGTTTGTTTTTTGTAAGTATTTAAATACAGTTATTTTCCGCCAATGGTATAGCATATTCCTATGCTTGAGAAGTGTAGGTCTACTGAAGAACCATTGCAAAATGAACGTTACAGGTGTGCTGTATTTTTGAAGGTATTTTGTTGTATTAAGTTTGATGAAGCTAAAGTTAGGGAACTCTGAACAGAATTGCAGGAAAAAAAAATGTTTTCAAGGCTCTAAACCATTGTGGAGGCAGCGTAGGGTGATAGCAAACAAGGGTTACGTAGTAAATACACTGAGTTCCGGTTCCGTTCATGCTTCATTGTCAAGAAAGCCGCGGGAAACCGTAGTTTGGTTGTCATCAAGTAGGAAGAACAAAACACCGACCAACCCACGTGTTTTGCGTTTTAGGTTCAATGCTGAGCGAAGGTGCTTGAGGAAGACATTACTACAAGGGTGTAGAGACAGACAGACAGACTCAAGAGCTATCAGCATTTGAAGGCCCAGCCTTGATTCTGAGAAATGTTGGAATTTTTTTTTCCCCTTCTCTCATCAAATGGCATTAACACAATTGGCAAAAGTGGTCCCTCAAATGACTCCCCCCAGATTTTTTTCTTTGGGAACTGAAGTCAGAGGCACAAATACTAACTCTCAACATCTTTCAGTCACTGCTTGCCCTTGGCCCCTCTGCTGGCCACTGTTCCTTTTCTAACTCCTCCTGGGCAGAAGCCCTCTGGTGCCATGCTCCTACCCCTCCAGCTCTTCTCTCCCCACTAAGGCGCGTCTCTTCAGCCTCTTCTTGGCGGGACATTAGCTCACTCCCCACCCAGTGCCGCCATCACCCAGATAACTCCCATGGGTCCTCCAGTCTGCGTTCTCCCAGCTTTCCGTTTTCTTTCCCCGACAGTCCAAGTGTGCAGGATCCAAATCTCTAGTCACGCTGTGCTATCTTCAGTCAGCCCACAGGAATATGCAAAACCCATCTCAAAAAGGTCGCCTTTCACCTTCCCAGATCCTTATCCTCATGTGCTTCAACCTCTGTAGTGGTGATATCATGAGTTATTTGCAAAGGAAAACATTTTCTCCTGTGATTTTTTTTTTCTTTTTTGGTGGAGAATGGTTTTTAAGGATGTCATTTGATATTCCCTTCCATCAGAGTCTCTCCCCTCATCTCTACCACTCCATCCTTTCCTCCCTGTCTCTTGGTGTCTCTGGCTGTCTGGTTTTTCTTTGCTTCTTTTTTCTTTCTGGTTTCTGGTAGCAGGCCTCCATTGACAGGTGTAAAATACGAGACGTGTGGTCAGTGAGGAGCGCTTTGGTGGTGCCTCCCAGCCTACCCGCCAGACCTTCCCAGACAGTCCCAGAGGCTGCTCCGCCCTCCGGGCATGGCTTTCATTTACATGGGCTTCCGAGGCCATTTTGTCTTGACGTCAATGCATGCACTTACTGTTTGACCGTAATCCTACTCTGCCTTCTCCACGTCCAAGGCTGTGCAATCGTCTAATTAGTGTCATGTATGTTTCCCCTTTATTTTTTCCAATAAAAAAAGCAGTGGGATGAAAATTGCTTTGATATATAGCAGGTATATTGAAGCTATTCCATAGCACTTACCTAGTGTCACCACTTCTGAAATCAATTTAATGTTTAATGCAAATCCATTACATGGTGCTATTACAGGCTGACAAAATGATTTACACAAATGTGACAACTTGGGCTCAATTCACTCTGCTTCCCAACAGTGTAAATGCATAGCAGTGTTTATCTGCATGAGAACTATGCACTAATCTATCTGAAGAAAAAAATAACTATATCAACTTTGGTATCTACTTTCCGTTTACTTCAATCCTTGCCTTTTTGGTCATTGTTATAATGCCAGCTTTAGGACAGAAAGAATTATAAGAAAACCAGCATAATACCTGATATATTAAAATGTAGTGCCTGTGAAATCTGTATTATACTGCTCTTCTGAAGTAAGATTTTTCTACACCGGTAGCCTTCGCTGTCTGTCAGTCAGGACCTCTGGTATAGGTGATGTAAGATAACCGTACAATATTATGCATGCTATTCCATAATGCTTAGTGAACTGTATGAATATTACTCAAAGTTCTGTTAGTCTTTTTTTTTTCTGCCTCGGTTCTTGTCAGCTAGGTTTGAGGTATTTCACTGAGAACGCGAACTCTGTCTTCCTTCCGGCTGTCTTCAGTATCTTGGAGGTGTACACTTACTTAAATTCAGTATTACGTGTGTTTTGTTTTCATTTTTTTGTTTTTGTTTTTTGTTTCATTTTGTTTCTCCTAAGGGACAAGCATGGGTGTTTGGTTTCAGAAATCAGTATCTGGTAAGATTTTTGTCTCAAAACTACCATTTGAATTTCAAGAGCGCTACTGCAAAAACCGCTCTGAGAAGATTTCCACATGAGAGTCGCTGTTGTGACCCTCCGCAGGAGCTAGGCGACACTGACATCTTAATGGACAATTTACCCATGCTTGATCCACCTCACACCAGACTTCCTCATATTAAACAGAAAAAAAAATCATAAGAATTCACGTGGCTATTCAGTTACATGCACAGATGCAATATTTTCTTCCAAACTATAACTCTGTACAAACTTTGGGCTCGATTCATAAGAAAGAAGTTTGCTATTAACACGGGATTTTTTTAATATGCTCTTTTTTTTGTCGGGTCTAAATTTGAAACTACTTGCTTTCCAAATTGATTTTTTTTCTTTTTCTTAATTTTCCCCCTGAACCAGCCAGCACCCATCTGCCTCATTCTCTGAAGGGTCGCATTAAGCCAGCAAGCAAGTTAGAGGGCTAAGACATGGGAACTAGGTCCCAGCCATGCTCGGAAGCAATGTGAGAACTCCAGCATGGGGCTATAGCACATTGAGGACCCCTGCTCTGTGTGCCACGCATCCCTACCCATAGACTCACCATGCTATCTGGGTCGAACTTTGTAAACTGTATCTGGACCACGAGAGGGCACAGGAGAAGTCCTACCTCTTAGCTCACTAGAGCAAGTTCCTGGCAGAAAGTATCACAGACTTGAAAATACGAAGTTTCCTGCCTCTATAGTGGTTTCAAAGGCAAGTGCTATCCAAGGAATAGGCCATTCTTCCTGCTCTTCAATGCTCAGCTTCCAAAATACCTAACGCTGGTTTTCCTTTTCCCTTGACTGTTACTTGTAGTATTCTTACTTTTTAAATTTTTTTTCTTGCTAATAACCTGTTAGCATTCTCAAATAAGGGTCTCAGGCCACTGGCTGTGGTAGGAGGTAGGTGTGTGGGAGCTGCTAGCTCTGTTCCCCCTCAGGCCGCTGTCTCTCTGCTGGTCTTGGCAAACTTGCCACTGAGATGCCAGCCAGACTAGACGCGGACTGCCAGCAGGTCCCATTAGGTCCTTAGGGAGACTGTCAAGGCGAAGTCCATGCTTCCTTCTCTCCCCTCCTGCTAACCCTTTCCATCACACATGGAAATAAAAAAATGTCTCCTCAGAGTGCCTCTGATTTTCATTTCAAATTGTGGGGGAAAGGATTAAAATCTTTACATGATGGAAAAAGAGACCTATTGTAAAACGAAACACCCCGTGTTAATAACTTGGTCTGAAATTGTTTTTATGAGCCGGGCCCCTTGTGCCTCTAGCATATTTGTATTGACTCTCATAGTTACCCTTTTCGTTGACTGTGTTCTGTGAAAACTTGTAATTGGTTGAGAATCACTGTGGGCGTCCATTCTTACCAACTAAATCTCCACAGGGTTTTCGAGCTGGTGTGGATTAGTTTAACTCTTGTATTCAACCCTTAGTGCTACCACCTTCTCACATTACAATACAATTACTGGAAGCAAGTACTGCATTTCCTATGCAACAAAAAAGGAAAAATAAAAAATTGCTAATGCTACAGAAGTCATGTCTTTCTTTGCTGGGTACATCATGACCTGTGCTGTGGGCTGGGGCTTCTCCAAAAGACGGGCTTTCTGACCGCAGCGTCGTTACCCTGGATGAGTTTTATGTGTGTAGGATCTTCCACAGGGTTCCAAAGAGAGTATGGCATCCTACCCGCCTGGATAGCTGCAAGGTTGCACACCCACCTGGAGCTTCCTGTGTCCCCAGAGTGCTTGCTCTCTGATTTATTCTTGCTATCAGGCATCAGGAAGTGGGTCCTATGAGAGAAGGGGCATCTAAATGGCCCTGGATGGGATAACTGTAGGGCACAGCCATCAGCCATGGATCTGGAGAAGCACAAGGAAGCAAGGGTTCAGGTGGTGAGGGTGGGACACGTGTGGCTGATACCTGGATCTTTTGAGGTAGAAGGGCACCATCAAAATGGGAACACTATACTAGATGATTAGCACCTCTGTGAGAAGAGGATTGGCTGGAGATAGAATTACCAAGGGAGGTGAGGTTTCTGCCGAGCAAGGCCTAGCTGGAGCAGGGATGTCAGAAGCAGCTGGAGAATGCTTTACAGCTGTAGCTGCTGCTGCCACACTGTGGAAAGGAAACTCTCTCCTCTCCATCCTCCTCTTGGCTCCCACCAGGGTATCTCCTTGGCTGGTTCTAATAGTAGCTGTTTAGAAGGAGAGCCTGGAAATAGAACCAAGAATATACATATACCAGCCCCAGCCTCAGCAGCAGGATGTGAACTGGTACACTAGGCAAGCAGGGCCATAAATCAGGGGCCCATTTAATCCATTTTAACCTTGAGGCCACACCGTGAGATGAGTATAGTTTTTATCCCCTTGTAGATGAGGCTCCTGAGCAGGGATTGGTTGCTGGAGGTCATGCAAAGAGTAATCACCTGGGCGGGATACAAATGCAAGAAGTCAGGTGCCAGCTTCCTTCCCATAATCACACCACTGCAGCTTGAGTCTGTTAACAGCTTCCTCAACAAACACTGGTGGGAAAGTGCCCACTGTGTGCCAGACACTATGCCAATGCTAGGACTAGTCGGTAAATAGAACCGCATCTGTCCTGTGACGTATGATCTAGTGGACAAATATCACTCAGATCCACTCAACAGCATAGTCATCATGGGTCTTCACATTGTTCTGAAAGCCAGCGAGGCCAATGTCATAGGTAAAAAACGATCAGGCAAAAGACAGAGTAAGAAAATTTCACAGTGGGCAATAAGGAAACATTATGTAGGAAGGTACCTGGAATCAGCGTGGAGCTTACACCTACTGGGGACTCCAGGAAGGCATATTAGGCTGAAGGAAGGAGAGACGATAGGGTGCAATATGAAATTTGATCTTGAATCAAGACACTGCATGTCATTGTAGCACAAGATGGATCTTTACTTGTTACTTTTCCCATCACGTGACAGAAACACTGGGCTCGTGTTTCATAGGGGCTTTCAGTCGTCAAACTGAAGAAGGCAGGGTGGAGATCTTGGTGGTGGGAGCATGTATCAGAGACCCCTCGCATCCCAACAGGCCAAGAGAAGGCACAGGCCAACACCAGGGATAGTATAACCTTCCAAAGCCCTACCTCTCCAGTCTACCTCCACCAACCAGGACCCACCTCCTCAGGGCCCCAGGGCCTTCAAAAGGCCAAGTCTCCAAGCTGGGAACTGGGCATTCAACATGAGCCTGCAAGGGAACATTTCACCCTCGTGCCATAGGAGAGAAGCTTATAAAACAGCCATTCATTCGATTCGTATAAAGAACTAGACCGTCAAAGAAACAATTCCACATGCCACAGCCACGAGGATTTTAAACTTATTTTACATGTCTCTTGTGGATAGCCTGAGGCCTCTGCACAGGATTGCCTCATTCTAGGACACAAGACAGAAAACAGATAGCATTCGGACCGTTGCAGGAGGTATAGGCAGGGTTCTTAATGGCTTTTAACAGCCCCATCTGGAGTCAACTCCTACCACTTTGGCTCACATCTCATTGGCCAAAGCAAATCACAGGAAGGCCAGAGAACAAGGCTAGACTTGAGGAGGGGAGGAAGTGAGCATCGTACAGTGGACTGAGGGGAGCAGAGCATTGAAGAAGTGAGAGCCGCGGAGAGGGAGTAAGCAGTGGGCCGCAGGCTCAAGATAGAATGCAAGAGAAGTGAGCAGAGCAGAGCCCAAAAGGACAGTAAAGGCTACTAAGCGCTAAACTCTCCTGCGGCAAGCGCTGTAGTTCTGCTCTGATGGCAACTTTTGGAGAGGCACGGTCAGTCCTTGCAATGCATTTCTGACCAAGTTGAATTGAGCAACTTCTTAATACTTGACTTAGAGCTTAAGTTAAGCCAAATCAGTCCCTAATCACTTTGGTCTTTATAATTTACCCTCATGAGATCGGAATCCAAGTCAGCCTAAACCATCTAGGACAGGGGGTATCCCGGTGCAGGGCTTGGACATAGGACCATACTGAAATCAAAACCATGGACTCAGGTACCAAACTGGCTGGGTTGACCCCTAGCGCTCTCCTTCATTAGCTCTGTGGTATTGGCTAATACCTCAGTTTCCCCATTGATAAAATGGGAATAATTATGACATGGTCATTATGGATATCTAACGAATTAAAATGTGTTTAGCCTGCCGTGTTATAAATGCTACGTGAATGCGACAACCAAAGAAAGGACCGCAATGCAGAGATTTCAGTGCAGTGGTAATAGAAATTCTCTTCCTGCGTATTCTCACACCTTCATTTGGGTGAATTCTCAGCTAAACAGAAAGAAGTAGCCCAAGAAATTTAGTCTAGGATTTACATGTTGATTTCTCATTTTCTGAATGCTGCCAACCGTCAGTTCTTCAATTTCCCCATCTACAAAATGGAAAAGAGTCTGGTGCCTCCCTTAGGACCTGAAACAGTTGATACATGTAGAACACCCTCCCAGCCAACTACCAATCACAGAACAGCCTGTTATTATTTGGTTCAACCAGAAGAAAGGAGCCCTGAAATCCTGGAGGACAGGGAAGTTACAGGGAGAAGCTGAGCTTGAAACAAGAGTACTCCCAGGTGAGGTGAGACAGGCCTGTAATCCCAATGCATGTGAAATGGAGGCAGGAGAATTATGAGTTTGTGGCCAAGCTGAACTACACAGATAGACCCCCGTCTCAAGAGGGTCAGTGAGGAGGGGGTGAACAGAGGAGGAAGAGGAGGATGGGGAGAGGCAGGAGGAGAAAAGAGATCAAAGAACCCAGAGAACTAGAGAGAATCCCACTCCCATCTTTTATTGGCCACAGAACATTAAGCAAATTATCTCTGCACTTTGGTTCTCAGTTTCCTCGCCTGTCAAATGAATACATCAATATCTTGCTTCCTGGGGGAGAGAAGTGAGAACAGCGGAGTAGACACAGATGAGAATGCAGTGGGATAGACAGGCATCAACACTAGATTAGGATGGAGAGAACCCAGCTTCAGGGCAACACTGGCCCTGGTCTCATTTTCCTGGACAGGGTTGGCCAAGCAACTGATTCTTACCAGCAGGGACAATGGGCCCAAGGGAAGTTATGTCAGCCATCATTTCTGGACCTTCAAGTTCTGGCTCTATGGTAAATGAACGTGACTAAGTAGGAAAGGTCCCACTGGCCATGAGCAAGACCCAGGGTGGACTTTGTCTTGTAAAGAAGAAAAAAGATTCTCCAAAGAGCGTCAGCTCAACCCGTGTTGGCTTTGCATCCAGCACATTCAGTACGGATTCCAGTCCCATTCAGCCAGCACTGCTAATAAAACAACAGGCACGCTGGCTCCTACCAGCTCGTTGGGCATGCTGGTGTCATCAGTGTCCACTGTATGCCAGTCAAACCCGAGCACTCACCTCTTCTCCCCCAATCAAGTCCATCTGCCTTCTCAGAGAATATGCTACATTCAGCACTGTGTTTCTCTGTGTCTTTGTTCATGTTCTCCCTCACCCGGATCACCATGCCTTTCCTGCCTCACCTTAATGCTAACCAACATTCAGAACTGAGTACTCTTTTGGACAAAACCTGTTCAAAGTATGCTTATTTCATGGCATTGAAATTGAATTAATTGTTTTTCTGACGTGTGTGTGTTACTAGAAATTGAATGTTGATGCTCACACATAATAAACACATTCGCTACAGCTCAACTATTTTCCCAGCCCATTTTTTATTTCTTATTTTGAGACAGGATCTCACCAATTTACCCAAGATAGCCCAGTCTAGCCTTGAACATACTCTGTAGCCCAAGATGGACTAGGATTTATAATCTTCCTGCATCAGCCTTTTGGATAACTGGATTTCAAGTCTGGTTCACATTGCACTTTAAATTATAGAAAAATACCATGTGTATATAAAAATAGACAGAATTGTCAAGTTAACTTTGCCTATAATTTATCATTTACAATCAACTTTGGACTCTCTGCTCCTGTCTTCTTCCTGGCCATGCTTAGATTATTCTGAAACAAATCTCAATTACCATATAATTTCATTTATAGGTGTAACTACATCGCCAAAAGACAAGGTTCTTTTATGAAATATATTTGGGATACAATTTTTATATCTCAAAATGTTGGGAAAATTCCTTGATATTATCTGCTATCATTGTTCAAATACTACCAATTGTCTCCATTTTTTTAAATAATTTGGGGGCTGGCAATATGGCTCAAAGGTTAAGAGCACTTGCTGCTCTTCTAGAAGATCCAGGTTCAATTTCCAGCACCCAGATGGCAGGTCACAACTATCTGTAAGTTTGGTCCCAAAGGATCCAATGCCCAGTTCTGGCCTCTGGGGGCACTGAATACATATAGTATACAGATATACATGCAGACAAAACATCTATACATACAATTTTTTGATTTTTAATTTTTAATGATTTGTCTAAGTAAAGAACCAAGTAAGGATTCATATACAAAGATTCAAAGTAAGGATTCATATACATCTTAAGGCTGTAAAGTATATAAAATCACCCTCCAACTCTTATATTTTCCTTGTGATAATGTGCT